CTGAGCTTGCAACACAGCAGTCTGGCTCTATCTCCACAGGCAGCTTGCATCCTTGATGTTAAATCTGATTTGTGTGTCCACGCTCTGCCTTCTACAAAAGCATATTTTAATGGACATTAAAAATGACACCTGCTGTTAAGGGAAGGTTAAAAATTAAACAGCAACAGTGCAGCTACAGTAAAGCAAGACATAGGTACAAGAAAGTGTTCCTTCTCTGCACAAGTACCTGCGAATATTAAAGGTCAACACTAATAATATCTTTTCAAGCACTTAAACAACCTTTTAGTCTAAAAAAATGAGTAATACCCCCAAGTAAGAGCATGCCCTCATGATCTGAATTCCTACAGGCAGCCATTAAACCTACTAATTCTATTTTTGTTTTCCTTACACAGCAAAGTTGGCAAGGAAAACACTTCAAGACCTCCCTCTGGAAAGGTTTTAATTTTGGCCTGAGCTCATTAGACTGTTAAACACTTCTGAAAGTCCCACCATCTTCTTCAGCTTCATCAGTATCTTAAAGGGAAGTGATTCTACCTCTTCCTCTAGAGTACAAATGGCATCAGTTCCTTGCACTAGTAGAAAAAGTAAGTATATCCATAGAAATATACATATACTATTCTAGACACGGGATGAAACCCATCCGGCTCTGAGGAATCATTAATAATTGGACTGTGAGACTATACTAAAGGCAGGCCACCAATGTGCTATACGATCCGATTACCGTGTATATTGTGTCCCTTTCTGTGAAAATTAAATAATATTCTAAATTCTCAGAGATCTTGAAATACCAATTCTGATGAGTTATATAGAGATGCAAACAAACCATTAGTCTCCCTGTTTGTAGTAAGGAGAAACACATTTTAACAAAACTAAATTAAATGCATGAAATCCAAAGTAAATACCCACCCAACATTGGAAAAAAATGAAGCTTCAGTCCCTGAACTGCCACTGACCCAACGAGACAAGTTCAGTTAATTTCATTGGGGTTTGTTTTCTTGGATCGTGTCTTCTTGGATTATTTTTGTGGTTTTGGTTTGTTGAGGTTTTCTCCCCCCTTCTTCTGCTATTCCAGCATTAAAAAATTGAAATGGCTACTACAACACATCTGCTTAATCAAGCTCCCTGGGGTTCTCAGGAACACCCACAAAGCATCATGTGCATCAAAAATTAGAGAATTTTCCAAAACCAACAAGGGATTTTGGGGATAGAGGAAGCAACTGGGTGTCATGGAAAAGCTTTCTTCCTAGCAATCGTAACTTTCCCCAGGTACTGACTGACCAAGTACAACCTGTCTCATCAAGACAAACTATTTACATTGTCATCAAATTTTATAGGCAATCACTTAAATTTCTTTTAACTGAACATAATATTTATTAACATCTTTTAGAGATACAACTGCAAATATCACAACTAACCAGACTGTTGGGAGTGAGCATTTAATCTCAATTCCTCAATGCGCAGCATCAGCATGGGACAATCATCTGACTCGGATGCCCCGTTCAAGCTCTGGCTCCTACTACTTTTTTTTATTAGGCTGAGGCATCTAATGATAGTACCCAGCAGCCCAACTGCACTAACAACATACGGGACTCCTGTCAATTTTTGCCGTGGATGGGCAATTCCAGCGTTGGCCTCATAAAGTAACTCACAAGAGAGGACTGTACAGAATAGCCTTTCTCCAAGTTACATTCCCAAAGAATAATCCTAGTAGAGCTTTATTCTCTTATCCTTACAGTAAATTACTTCTCTTGGCTCAGAGCTTTAAGATTTTATTGCTTTTTAAGTTAGCGATGAAAGATTTAATCACAGATCTCTTAGATTTAACCACTGAACACCGGCTTTTCCAGAACCTTCCAAGCTCCAACAGGAGTCACAGTAGAAGTTCCCAACTATAAACACTACTGGAAAAACTTTGGATTTACCATGGATTTCCTCCCAGTAATCATTCACAGCTTGAGTTTAGCAATAAAGAAATTCATCATCATGCCTCCAAAGCCATCTGGGAGATCAGGCTTTTGGCAGAGAAAAAATGGAGCAGCCATTGCCTAGCAGCGCAGGAAATCAATGACTTCCCCACGCAGGGGCGAGCAACAGGCTGCTCCAGCTGAGCACAGGGTCACTCCTTTTCCTCTCTGCCAGCAAAGCAGCTTTGTACGTGCAGCGAGCAAAGCCTCCATTACGCTGGCAGGACACACAGACCTCTTCCCCCAAAGCCTGCCCTTACCAGTAGGGTCAGGCATCCAGCTACGCAGTTTCAAGTGAATAGCCAGAATGGAGAGGGAGTGAATACATGTGGAGACACTGGTCTGCTGGGAAAGCCTTTAGACACAGGGATTTCAGGCTATGAGGTAGGTAACAAATGTCCCAGTACAACACTGATTTAAGCTCATCTGAAATCCCATGACTTGACAACTGAACTTTGACAACATCAGTGCCCGGAGAGCCTGGTTTTCCCCTTCTCCCCATGTTGTGATTTAATCCCAGCCAGCAACTTCATACCAGACAGCTGCTCACTCACACGCCCCCTCTTCCCCCCGCCACAGGATGGGGACAAGAATGGGGAAAAAGTAAAAACTCGTGGGTTGAAATAAGGACAGTTTAATAGGAAAGCAAAAGAAAGTGATAACAATAATAATAGTAATGATAACATATACACAAAACAGGTGATGTACAAGTGCAATGACTCACCACCCGATGAACGATACACAGCCTGTCCCCCAGCAGCTACTGCTGCCCCCCGGCCAACTCCCCCAGCTTACATACTGAGCGTGACGTCGTATGGTATGGAATAGCCCCCTGGGCCACTTTGGGTCAGCTGTCCTGGCTGTGTCCCCTCCCAGCTTCCCGTGCACCTGGCAGGCCAGGCCAGTGTGAGAAGCTAAAAATCCTTGACTGCCCAGCAATAACTAAAAATACCAGTACGTTATCAACATTATTTTCATCCCAAATCTAAAACACAGCACTACATCAGCTACCAGAAAGAAAGTTAATTCTATCCCACCCAAAAGCAGGTCACCTCAGCAGCAGGACAGTACTATTTACTTCCAGTAATTAGAGCTCTAAACCAGGTGTAAAGTTATTTTTTCATTTTAAGCACAACTGTCAAAGGGGAGTTTGGGATACTAAAAAAAAAAAAAAAACCACAAAAGTGAGCACACTATCCAGGAGACAACAGCCCAGATTGGCATCCTTCCAGGCTGTACTTCTTCACAGCTAAACCACCAGTTTATTTACATATACAATGCAAAATGGGTATGTGTCCCTTTTTATTGAGATGGTTTGCCATCCTTCCAGCCTGTACTTCTTCACAGCTAAACCACCAGTTTATTTACATATACAATACAAAATGGGTATGTGTACCTTTTTATTGAGATGGTTTGCCAGAACTGGCATAGTCACTCAAGATCTTCTGTCAAGGTCACACCAGAGCCCACCACTGATCTCTGCAGCTTTAAAATCCCAACTCCTTCCTTAAATTTACTAGCCTTAGTACTCCCTGGAACACGAGGCAAGGGAAGAAGGACAAGAGTTGAGTTTCCCTAGACACACATTTCACCTTTGCTACAGGCAAAAAGAATTTCACATCCATATTTTTGCTCCAGGACAAAGTTCCCAACAAGGTCACAGTAATGGGATCACTACAGGCATGTATGCAGTCATCAAGAACTGAATTACTGCCTGTAACTGGTGTCAGAGGTTACTGATACAAAACAGCAGATGGAAGGGACTTCTGGTCAATCCGGACTTGGCCCTGATTTGAACCAGTGCTCTGGATAAGCAGCTTGTCCATTAACCAGCCCTCCCTGAGCTCAGAAGGTGCTGCTGTAGCTGCTTCCAGAGCTATGCCTGCTTATTAACCCCGGTAGCTGGAGATGTGTTAGGATCACCACTGGATCTGGCTGGCTGAGTATTTTCCCGTATCAAGAATATTTTGCAGCATCTCCTGACAGCTACACTGTTAGCTGTATATCTGTGAATCATTGAACCTAGAATCTGTAAAACACAGCCGTATTACAGGAGAAATATCTTCTAGCTTCTCAGGGAGACTGTTCACTCATCTTCCTACCCACATTTTCTACCTCTATCATTTCTTCAGTTTAATAAGTTACATTCGTAAATGCAAGTACCTGCCTTATTTCTCTAGAGTCACCATTGCTCTAAATCAATTCAGGTCATGCTGAAATTAGTCTTGTCCTTCACCAGGTTAACAGCTTCTCCAGTTTTTCTATAATTAATACATGTCCGTAGATAAATTACAAATAAAGTGAAAGACAAAAAAAGAAGTAGGATTACTCTGTAATATTTTTTCTTGTCCCTCTATCCCCAAGTTCAATAAGAAGCCTCTCAAAACCTCACCCTACCACAATTTATTCAGCAAAAAGAAGACACTGCTTGAAGGTATTTCATAGAAGAAATAACATGTAACCTACAAGAGTTTCCTCAATAAATGTGGGCACCACACATAACCCCACCTCTTTTCCTGCAAACAGGAAAAAGCTCACTCATTTTCTAAGCTTGCACCTTCTTCATAGTCCATTCAAGCTGCAGTAAGACTCGTCGTTTGGTCACTGCGGACAGCAGTAGGCTTGCATTTATTGTGGTGGAATGCGCCCTCACTGTTTGTTCTTTGAGTTTATGGCAAGGCAAGTACAATGACTCATAAAACTGCTGCAAGAAAAAGCTGAAACAAGTTAACAGAATGAGCTTCTTTAAAATTACATCCTTCATCCTACGTTTCCGGTATGCAGAGCCAAAACCACATCACGCTTTCGACTGACAGATTTAGAGATATTTTTTATGATAAATGGCATGAACATCACTGAAGCCAAGTAATGCTTCATGATCTGTTCCTGAACTGCTCACAGATCTTAAGTACACTATAAGCTGTGGCAGGCCTGGTTCTATGTTCTAGACAAAAATGATTTTTTTACTAGTGTACTATTCTTTTCTTCTGGGAAAATTATATTTTTCTATGCTGAGAATACCATGAAAATGCTTACCTGTTTTCCATCTAATGTGTATAGGCGTTTAACCACCCCTGAATCCAGCTTGATGGCATCGGTTATATCAGTAAGAACCTGTTCAAATGAATGGGCTGTCTTCTTGTTGAGCAGAATCCGGACTGCTTTCCGTGGCTTCACTCCGCTCCTGATGATAGTAACTAGTTTAGGCCTAATGAAATCCTTATTCTCTTTTGCATCTGGAGTACCTCCCTTAGCAGTGGCAAGAGACGGCACTGAACGAGAAGCAGAAGTTGTCTTAACATTCACTGACCAGTTTGGGTTTACATTCTTCGTGTACTCCAGTTTCTTGAAGGGTTCTATGGAACCACATACATAGCTTTCCCCTGCGGAAACAAAAATGCCAGACCAGCAAGTCAGATGGGAGCAGGGTGAAGAAACAGAAAAATACAAAATCAAATCCTTCTCAAACTATTAAACATAATTCTTATCATTCTTGATCTACAGTGCATAAAGTATTGATCTCTTCCCTTCTCACATGCTAAAGACTAAAAAAAAAAAAAAAATCTTTTAAACATCACTTGTCTGCTACCCATTCTGAAAACGCTGTTACAAAATCCTGGAAAGCACAGTTTTCTTTTCAGAAAACACCATCTGCAGCGGGAATCGCTGCCATCAGTGAGTAGCGTTCATATCTAATCAGCTGCCCAGCCCCAGCACATTATCACAGTAGTCCTCCAGCCTTCACACTTAAATGGCCCGCTCCTAACGAAACAGCAGGCCCCAGACACTTCAGAGGAAATAACATGAAACGTTATCAAAAAACTATAGGTTACACATAACTTTCCATAAAGTGTGGATGAAAGTGTCATAGGAGATTTGTTAACATTTGATTATTTAAAGCTTTAAGTAGCATAAACCCAGGATACATATAGGCAAGAAATCTCACTGTATTATTCTACTGACTCAATAAATAATATGAGGGGGAAAGGAAGGCAAAGAGTAGTAATTACAGAGTTCTCCTCATAACAAGTTTATAATACTTTAAAGAAAAAAAGTGGATTATAGCCCATATTTCTACTGGAATGTTATCTACAATAAAACATTTTTGCAGTTACCACACCCACGCAATTTCTGGAGAACTATAACACAGCCAGAACACACCAGCAAGTTTCTGTTCAGCACCACCTTAATCCAGTCCAGCTTCCATCATGTGCAGCTGCACCAAGCAGGCACCCCTACCCTCTCCCTTGAGCTCGACTGAGTGACCGTGCTGCCAGTTGCGCTGGGTGAGCGGGATCAGCTCATTGATCTGACTGAACATAACAAAGACAATACTAATTTTGTAACAACAGGCTGATCCAACACACCCTCTGGCTGGGGGAAAAAAAAAAAAAAAAAAAAAAAAAAAAGAAAAAAATAATACTAAATCCAGCAAGACCACACCTTCTGGCAGCCTGCAGTTAAACTCTATTACAAATCATGCAAAATCCTATCCCGAACAATATCACAAAAACATCTGAAATGTTTTAATTCTTCTGGGTTCAGTAGTTCAGCGTATGCTAACAGCACAGAGGCCTTCATGTTAGCAGTTTAGCTCAAGGTATTAAAATAAAAAAACTCAGTGATGTACCCCTTATGCCAAAAAGCATATAAGAAATAATGATTTTCCTATGGATCCCTACCCTCAGGAAAGAGGATTCACAGTTCAATTATTAAAAGAAAAAGAAATATTTAAATCTTAATTCTGGACACAAGTTTTAAGGTTTCAGGGCACCCAACCCCACAGACAGTACAGCACACAAGAAATGCTGGCAGACACACAGAGGTACCACCATTAGGTGGGATCCACTGCGAAATGAGGCCCCAGATGCAGCAGAGGTTCAAGTCTGTCGGCATGATGCTCCAAAGGTGAGACAGTAACACACTGCGCAGTGATTATCAGAAAAGCAGTGGAAGAACTCCAACAGAAGACAAAAAAGTCAGAGCAACAAGTGAAGATAGACCACTAAGCAGCAAAGATAACGACAGATGACATCAAGATGGGTGGGAGTGTTGATCTGCTGGAGGGTAGGAAGGCTCTGCAGAGATCTGGACAGGCTGTATCAATGGTTTAGATTGGATATCAGGAGAAATTTCTTCGCTGAAAGGGTTATCAAGCACTGGAACAGGCTGCCCAGGGAAGTGGTGGAGTCACCATCCCTGAAGGTATCTCCATAAGCCAGCAGTGTGCCCTTGTTGCCAAGAAGGCCAATGGGATCCTGAAGTGCAGGAAGAAGAGTGTGGCCAGCAGGTCGAGGGAGGTTCTCCTCCCCCTCTACTCTGCCCTAATGAGGCCTCATCTGGAGTACTGTGTCCAGTTCTGGGCTACCCAGCTCAAAAAAGATGAGGAGCTACTGGAGAGAGTCCAGCGGAGGGCTACGAGGACAATGAGGGCACTGGAGCATCTCTCCTATGAGGAAAGGCTGAGGGAGCTGGGCTTGTTCAGCCTGAAGAAGAGAAGGTTGAGAGGGGACCTTATAAGATGACCCACAGAGGTCCCTTCCAACATCACACTATTTTCCCTTTCTTCACTTCGAGCAGTACTGTATTACATCAGTGACATCCTTGTCTCTAAATTGGAAAGACATGGATTTGATGGATGGACCACTCGGTGGATAAGAAATTGGCTGGACGGTTGCACTCAGAGTTGTGGTCAACAGCTCAATGACCAACTGGAGACCAGTGACAAGTGGCATTCGTCAGGAGTCAGTACGGGGACCAGTGCTGTTTAACATCTTCATCTGTGACTGGACAGTGGGATTGAGTGCATCCTCAGCAAGTTTGCCAATGACACCAAGCTATGTGATGCAGTCAACACACTGGAGGGAAACGATGTCATCCAGAGGGACCTTGACAGGCTGGAGAGCCTCCTGTGAATCTCATGAAGTTTAATAAGGCCAGGTGCAAAGCCCTGCACATGGGTCAGGGCAATTCCAAGGACAAACACAGGCTGGGCAGAGAATGGATTGAGAGGAGCCCTGATGAGAAGGACTTGGGCTGTTGGTTGACAAGAAGCTCAACATGACCCGGCAGTGTGCGCTCACAGCCCAGAAAGCCAACCACATCCTGGGCTGCATCAAAAGAAGCACGGCCAGCAGGTCGAGGGAGGTGATCCTGCCACTCTGCTCTGCTGAGACCCCACCTGGAGTCCTGCATCCATCTCTGGAGCCCTCAGCACAGGAAAGACATGGAGCTGTTGGAGCAGGTCCAGAGGAAGGCCACTAAAATGATCAGAGGGATGGAACACCTCTCCTATGCAGACAGGCTGAGAGAGTTGGGCTTGTTCGGCCTAGAGAAGAGAATGCTCTGGGGAGACCTTATTGCAGTCTTCCAGTCCTCAAAGGGGGCCTACAAGAAAGCTGGAGAGGGACTTTTTACAAAGGCAAGCAGTAATGGCTTCAAGCTGAAAGAGGGTAGATTTAGATTAAATAGAAGAAAGAAATTATTTACCGTGAGGGTGGTGAGGCACTGGAACAGGTTGCCCAGAGAAGCTGTAGATGGCCCCTCCCTGAAAGTGTTCAACGCCAGGTTGGACGGGGCTTTGAGCCTGCCCAGGGCAGGGGGGGTGGAACTAGATGATTTTTAAGGTCCTTTCCAACCCAAACTGTTCTATGATTCTATGATCAATAAAATATTTGCAGCAACATATATTTTTTCCCCTTGAAAAGGCTCATATCTAGCTACAGATTATCTTGGAGGTAGAGTATCCAAGGCCTTCTAAGATGAAATATCTTTAGTAAGAACTATTTTGTATCGCAAAACAGAAATACAGACACCTCTTCCATAATGCTGCTATTTAAGACTGTTTATACTTCAAGCGAAGTGCTGGGGCTTATAAACCTTCAGGGATGTTAGCCAGGGACTGCAGTTCTCTTTCACAGTGGTCCTAAGTGCCACGCCTGTAAGAACAAAACCTAAATGGACAAAAGCCCCATGTCCTAAAAGTATCTTTTATCTGATCTTAAGATCAGTAAACCCTGTTTTAGGGTGACATCCAGCAAACTAAGTACTCAAAACATTAGAAACTCAAATACAGTCTTCAGTTTCCTGAACATGGGACCCACCCTGACAGCCGCCAGAAATTTCAACGTGTATCCTAATCCTTTAGCGTCAGTGGTGTTTGCACACAAAGCAAATCTCAAAGGAAAGGACAAAAAGTCTACACCTAGATTTTCATCCTCTCTTTCACAGTTACCTCAAGGACACAAGACTGCAAAGAAGTTTCGCAAGGGGCATGACCCACTGGTCCACCAAATCCACCTTATGCCCTAACAATTGTTTCCTCACCAAAACTAGCAGGTGATGACACAATTCTCTTCTATTTTTTTTCTTCTTATTTTTGGTAACCTTTGGCTACAACTGCCTTGCAGACAACAGCCCCATCCCTGTGACTTGTACCTGAGGGGGAACAGAAGCTGTGATCTGTGGACATGTAATACCAGCAGCAAGTTGGTTTCCCCAGCTCCAGAGCACCAGGAAAATATACCTCCAGGGGTAATCCCACGGGGCACCATCAGCTCTTACTCTGGGTAGGGCCTAAGCACAAATACAGCCCACTAACACTAGCTTTGACTAACTGGCAGCTGGAGGAAGAAGGTGACAATCTCCAAACACTGGATGTATAATGGAACATGTGTCGAAGAAGGAATCATCAGAGATGTTGGCTTAAACAAAAGCATAGAAAAGACAGCCCACTTCAAATGTCTGTTAGACTGCAGCTCCCCAAGAGAGGGGAGCGAGTGTTTCACAGTGCAGTCAGCTGTCACTAATGAAATTTTGACTCCTGATTACAGTATCAATAGCCATTAGAAAAAGAACAGGAGGACACCCAGCTGTTCTGGGATATCTGACATCTAGGAACAAAGTCATTACTAAACGTTAGAAAGTATCCCTTTCTTGACAGCCATCCTGTCTTCTCACAGCATCAGTGAAAATGAAACAAACACCACCCTAATCCTTAAAAAAAAAAAAACCCACCCACCAAAAAAACATAATGCTTGTTTGCCAGTTTTGAACCAGTAATCCTACAATTTAAATTTTGCAAGTACTCAACACTTCAAGAAATTCCATGTGGAACAATTAAAATAAATCTTAGCATTGAGAAGCTAATCTGAAAGCTCATCATACAGAAGGACATATCCCAAAACATGGTTTATGCTTAAAAAAAAAGACACAAGCAAAAACCTACTACCTGTAGTTACACATCTGTCAAAAATTCAATGCAGCTGAACAACTAGAGCCACATAACACTGAAGGATAGCTCTTATAAGTCATGACAGAATTTCATGACACGCTTGATGTATTAAAAATATAATTTAAAAAATAGTATCTGTGTACAAGGTGG